GCAATCTCTGGCCTTTTGTAGCCATTTATGGAGGTGAAATACGATCAGAATTCAGGATTTTGTTGTATTTTTTTTTTCTTCCAGATTTCAGAAGAGATCCCTAGAAGCAGGTGTTGACCTTGCTCTGTATTCATACAGATGGACAGGTTGAGAAGCCCTCAGAAATCACCATAAGCCTTCACCAGCAAATTCTCACTAGAGAGGATAACTCCTTGAGCTAAAAAGCCTCCGATTTTTTTTTTTTTTTCCTGACTGGTAAGGGGATTGCAACCTTTGGCTCGGTGTCGTCAGCACCACGCTCAGCCAGTGAGTGCACCGTCCATCCCTATATAGGATCCGAACCCGTGGCCTCGGCGCTACTAGCGCCGCACTCTCCCGAGTGAGCCACGGGGCCGACCCAAAAGCTTCTGAATTTTAAGGAAGATTCCTCTTGCTAAGCAAAAATAACTTGTTTTAGGTATCTAGGTTGCTCTGTGTGTCTTAGGTGAACATGAAGAATATAACCCACCCACCACCCAGTGTAAACATCACTCAGCAATCCCATGTGATTTTGAGCTTGGTTTATTTTATATGTAAATTGTCTGGACTGGTCCTTTCTGACATTTTTGCTAAGAAGTTCTGAATTTCCAAAATGCTGAATGCCACACTTCCCTGACTGTTCTAGCTTTCTCTGAAATGCACAGGAAATGTCTGTAGGTTTGGCAAGCTCTTCCCCAAACCCCTTCCCCACACTCCTATTCCAAATGTGTACATTCAGCATTTGAGAGCCTTTGATTGTTTTCCCTCTTAGTTCCCTAAAACACACTTGTATTCACTTTTTATGAAGTTAAAACTGCTTCATTTTCAATCAGTTGAGTTAGAAGGACCATGTCTAGCCTTAACCTTTGTCAGATATCCCTAAAAATCCCAACTTTATTTTTCTTCTAAATTTTCATAATGCCATTCTTACAAATGCATGCCAAGCCTGTCGACCGTTTTCTTTCTCTGAACTTACTTTTCAGATATAGCAGTATGAGAATTAGGGGTAGAGGAAGCAGCACTAGAAACTGAAGAGCTGGAAACTAGAGTTGGCACATTTGAAGTAATGAGAATAAAAGTTTTTTCATTTCTCTAACATTCTACAAACATTGAATACCTACCATTGTTCTAGGCCCTGGTGATACAGCAGTGAACAAAGAGATAAAATTTTTGCCCTCAGGGAGCTTAAGTTCTAGTGGAAGGAGACTGATAATAAACCAAATTCATAATTTATATAGTATATTAGGGAATGATCTTTGCTTTGAAGAAAAATAGAGCAGAGATGGAGCATAGGGAGTGGTTTTCACAAGTTTAAAATAAAGTGGCTTTTGAGCAAAGCCTTGGAGGAGATGAAAAATGGGGCTATG